ACATATATAAAATATGTACATATACATTGTATATGTATACAAATCATGATAGGATGTAGGGAAAATCTAAAAAATCTAAAACGTCTTTCGAAATGCTATAAAAATGAAGAGATAAGTAATAATCTCAGAACATCAGATGTAATGATCATACCAAATGGGGAGGGTTCACCTAAAACTCCAGATGCCGTGAAGGGGAAAAGCACGTTGGACCCAGCTTTATTATTATAGGACGATACAGAGGTCCGATAGAGTATTGGTTAAAATGTTAAGATTTAATATTCGCTTTTTAAGTTTTTTATTACATAAGAAATTTAAAAAAAAAGTGTAATCAGTACATTTTCGACTGTCTTAAAATTTGGACCATTTTCGATTTAGGGTGGGATGTACCCACTCATATTAAAATAACGCTTTATTAACATGTACACTTTACATAATGTATTAAATCAATCAAACAATCAATTTTATTTTCTGAATTTGCATTCCTATACTTCATGAAAATATGAATGTCATAATGTTTCCATAAAGTGTTTTTAATCTAATGAGAGTTATACTTAATTAGGCCTATATTAACACAGTTGACAAAATGAAAATAGTTTGAATGCATTTCTCACTAGTTCAATCTCTTTTATTTCAGTGTCTTAGGTCAAATCTACCGATACATCAATAAGTGCGAAGTCGATGTACAATCATTGTCAGCGGAACACGATGTGTATTAAATTGCCGGAACACAAGATGCTATCAATAGCCGGATTTATGTGGTTTTAATTCAATCGCGTGGACATTTATTAGGATTTATTTCACTGGATTGCCGGAATGGAATTAAATTTGCCAATTATGTTTCTTATACAACGAGCAAGTAATTCTCGAATGATATTACATAGTTAAATATAATTAGGCCTAGGCATTATATATATATTATATTATATTATATAAAACTAAAATCTTTATATTCTATTTATATTACGTTTATATAGCTCTGATGTAAAATTTCCGAGTATGTAAGAAATAAATGTACACTGTAGTGTAATTTATAATACATCATAGTGCGTACTTCTTTTTTCGTAATTACATTAATAATAATATTATATATTTCATGATTATTATTCAGTATATAATCGAATTAAATATATTATAATCGCTTCGATTCGAATATAGCACTACTACAGGCTACTATATCTTATAAACACTCTTTCAAAACATATTTACATGACACCAAAAAGTTACGAAACTTTTCAGAGCAAGGTGCTGTCGAATTTTACAAAACAGGAAATGACGTCGGTTGCTAGGCTACAGCTCATGCATATTCAGTAACACCTGTGCTCATTAGACTAACAATAAAAACTTTTAGCTCAGTTTTGACAAAATCGACCAAAAAGATTTTATTGTTAGTCTAATTATAACAGGTGTCACTGAATATTCATGATTATGCATGAGCTTGTTGCTTAGCAACCACGTCATTTCCGGTTTTATGTTTTTGTTAAGGGCGTCCTCGAAAGAATTGCTAGTTTATTAGATAAAGTAGTAGGCCTACATATTGATGAAGCAATTCTTCACTTTTTGGTTTAAGTATATAAGCTTATCATAATAAGGATATTTTAGCTATTGGATTTATTACAGTAAACATAGATATTAAATAAGATGAAAAGAAATGCACAATTCCATTTGATATTTATTTTCAATCATTGAAATCAAGTTGTGATTATATATATATATATATATATATATATATATACATTTTATGTTTATATACTGTAGGCCTATATAATGTTCATCTGGCAAATATCAATAAATCTCATTTTAATCCGCAAAATGTTATATCTTATTATCGTACATGTCTACATTCTTTACAACAAACGGGTTACTTCCTCAATAAGATAAATATTAGCAGCAATAATACAATATTAATAAACATAAAGCCTACAAGAATTATTACATATTGCTAACATTATTTTTTTGAGATTACACAATTTTTGGCTATCTACGAATAATTGGTAAGTTCGGTTGCCCTTTCACATTTTTTACTGACAGTTGTGGCTTCTTTGTCTACATCACTGGAATAGAAAAATATTGAGAAAAGATTAGGAAACAGAGAAAGAATATAACGGAGTATCATCAAAACATAATAATACATAAATAAAAACAGAGGCAGAGCCAGTAGGTTTGAAATAAAGGGGCCTACGGGGAGGGACTTTGCCATATGAAGGGTTCCCACCACCTCATTCCCCACCATGGATGGGGCTGAGGTAATAAACGTTTCGATTATGGCACCTCTAGATGTCCAGAAATGCCACTCTCAGATTTTAAATTTAAATGTAATTTTCTTTTTTTCTCCAATTTTTTACCATTTTAAAAGATTTAGGGTGGGAGGCAGGACGGTTGTCACCCTCCCCTCCCCCTTCCAGGGGAGCACCTCAACCAGTTATATATGATAATGGACAATGCTGCTGGTACAACATAATAGTGCTTCACAATTCTTATCATATCAGCATAATCATATTAAATATTAATTATCTATATAGTATCATCATACCACGGAATGATGTGAGGATTATTAAATACATGGCATTGGACAGGACTAGTAGATCGCAATAGCGCAAACAAATAATGTTAGCATTCTGATTGTCACGGGTACATAAAATTTATAAAATGTGTACTATTGTACTAGAAATGAATATATAGACAATAAACAATAAATATAATACTATATCTATAATCTTCCTACAAACATTTTTCATGATATAATATTTTTTGATTGATTGAATTTATTCGATGCTCAACATGCATAAGCAAGATAACAAATAGATTGAGATCAAGAAAAGTAAAAATTACCGTAGTGAGCACCAGGAACGTCCATTAGTCCGGAGTCAAGCCCATTTCCAATGAGGTCCAATTTAAAATTTAAATATACACTGTCTTTCTTGAGCTGAAAGATAAAGAATTTAATTTCATAACTGAATAATTATATTTAAGTAAGTTACAAGCTTACAATATGAATGACAAAATTGTTTTCCTGTCAATTAAAAGACAGTTAAATTATACCAGTGCTATATTCTTATTCATACATAGACTCTTAAATTGGCTAGTAATGTCGATTTAAAGTCAGGCTCCGGAGGAAAAAAAAAATGATATGTTGTAGAATTGATTTTTCAAAGACAGAAAAAAGTTGTTTGACGAAAAACTGGGGAACGGTGAATGAGATACAGATTTTTGAATATTTAAAAACTGGGGGGAAAAGGGGCGTAATCGGTTTTTATTAAGGCAGCTAAATTGTAGAAAACTCTTCCTCCTAGCGCCATTTTCTGTTAAATGGTCTGCTGCCCTATCTTTTATTAAAAACTGTGAGCCCTCTTGCTAACACTGTTTTCAAATTCACGCTTTTTTGTATTGATTTTACTTTATGAATGAATGTATGAACTACATTTTATCATATGATCAGTGAACCACCATTGGTGTCGGGCCTTGTCTATGTCTTGCATTTCATATTATTCATCTAGGCCTATATGTCGAATTGGTAATGAATAAATAAATAAATATCCGTGCACACATGGCCACATAGAGAGAGTCTCAGACATGTACGGCTCATGTCTGTTTTTAAAAATGTAGGCCTATCTTTATTTCAAATGTATTATAAATGTAAATATATTTCACATTTCGACTTTCTTTACGAGTTTTAGAGGGACACCATGAGCATTTCCTCTTAAAGGGATACCGGCACTTTATATAACTTTTCATTATTATTATCATTGTTATTGTTATTATTATTATTATCATTCTTATTGTTATTGTTATTATTATTATTATTATTATTATTATTATTATTATTATTATTATTATTATGCCTATTATTATTATTATTATTATTATTAGGTCTATTATTATAATTAGGTCTATTATTATTATTAATATTATTATTATTATTATTACAGTCCTATATTAAATGTTGAACTGCTCTGTATATTCAAAAAGGGGAATTGTGCAACCGGCAACCGGCCACCGCCTAAATTATTCAAAAATATTCAAAAACGGAGAAGAAAATGAAAATTTTATTCATATTTAAGTTGTTTCCGGCCATCTAGAGCATGGACCATTGAGGTGACATAATCATAAATCCATTGTGAAAGTCTCCTGGATCCCCTCTATTTCGAACTTCTTGAACCGTCACTACAGTAGTACCTTTTTGTCATGGAAGTACACATCCATGAAGATATTAATATCAATGTTGATAAAGACATTTGGTGTCATTAATTGGGCCTACCCTGATCACTTTCGCTGTCCTTTAAAAATAATATAGAAATATTTTTGTCGGGCTATAACAAATTTCGATTGTTCAGGATTGACAGTTGTGTACCAGTAATAGGCTCTTAGTAATAAATTGCATATATTGTCAATGAAAAAAACCAAAAAAAAAAACAAACATATACGAATCTACAATGTAAACAACGAACGGAAGTTGACAAGCCCCAAGCTGTAATTACTGTATTTTAGGCAGTTTCAGGTCTTTGGTGGTTTTAGCGAGTCACTTGGAATGTATGTTGCTGAATAAAATGCAGCCATGTCAGTGCATGCTTCTGTCGAGGAAATTGTCAATGCCTTCAATGCGGATGCCTAACAAACGTAGTCAAAATAATAACCATAGAATGATGACAGAATTCCCATTAACTAGTGAATTAACGATGCAAATGTTCAATGCTGTACTTACATTTGTTACTAATTGTAAAGTTTCCTTCGTAGTCCATTGAGTAATGTTTATATGTAAAACGCCACCTGGAGTGGTATAAAAAAACAATTCATTATTCGATTTCTAATGCGCCATTCCTTAATGACGATGAGGATGATAATAATAATAATAATAATAATAATAATAATAATAATAATAATAATAATAATAATAATAGTAATAAAAATAACAATAATAGTAATAACGATAATAATAATAATAATAATAATGATAATAATAATAATAATAATAATAATAATAATAATAATAATAATAATAATAATAATAATAATAATAATAATAATAATAATAATGGTGGTGGTAGTGGTGATTATGATGATGATGATGATGACTTGACTATTTGCAATCTAAATGTATTACCCTTTTAAAGTGAGGGACATTCATTTTTGTAAAGTATGCATGTGCTATTTCCCGGCAGAGGATCCATTTTTTTTTCAACCATGGTTCTAAGTCCTCTTTTATTTGTTTTGCAGTATCAATGAATGAGGGCCTTTTTTCTTATTACTCTTACTTGTTTTTTTCTTTTTTTTCACTTCATTTTAGGAATTATTCATTTTCAGTTAAAAAACAGTGATAAAAGGGAGAGACATCCAATCCCCACATCAGAGCATTCATTCCAATTATAATATTAATAATCCTATAGGCATGATTGGGTACCGGTGAATATAAAACGCTCTCATATTAATTCAGAAGACATATCAAGGCCAGAGATCATTATAATATTTATTCTTAAATATATTAACGATCTATAAACCGACACTTTATCACACCATGGAAAACGTAAGTAGGTCTAAATAGGATACTATATTTAGATAGAATTACTCGAAATTTAGTAGTGCACAAAACAAATAGGCTAGCTATTGAAACACAGCGGCGTGTCTAAGAGAAATGTGTGTTAGTGATGGTAAAGAGGGGGAGGCGGTAGCTGGCAAAATAAAATAGATGATTTTTATATATATTCATATTTCCATGCAGTGCGGAGGTGGGGGAGGGAGAGACTGGAAAAGCGTAAACTTTCTTCTTTTGCAGTGTAGGGTGGGGGAGGAGGGGGTGGGGATATGTGCGTCTCTCCGCACATCCCCAGATACGCCACTGTACTGAAAATACGTTCACCACACTTATTGTTTTGATCAAATTTTGATTACGGAGGATCAAGTAAATGACCAAAGTTTCAATGTCGTCACACGGAAACCATTCATGTTTCGCACCCATCGCACACCCCTCTCTGAAGATATGACTAAGTGACATTACCCTTTTGAACATCATTTCAAGTAATTTTGGGGGATAATTACCAGTGGCGGATGATTCAAATGCAAAAAGCCGGCCTGGCCCTCTAAATTATATATATACATACTCCCTCTCCATTTGTAAAAGTCATTTCCTGGCTCCCCTCTATTTCAGCCCCTGATTACACCTAGCCCTTCATGATTGGAATGTCAAAACTATCAACATTTAATTTCAAGTTAGTTTGTCTTGTTTAAGAAAATTAATTCATAATATTTACTGACACTTATATCAAGATTCTTCACAAAAGTGTCCCAGAGCAGGGCTCTATTACAATCTAAAATTTAAATAGGCATAATCCTATTTACTAATAAAGAAAGACCTCTAGACCATCAGATCATTTAAATAAGTATACGGCTGGTATGTTGAAATTCTACTGTGAAGGAACCAAGTTATTTCAACATTTTTTGATGGATAAACTCAAAAATCAATGTACTTGTCTGCAATTCAATATAATTGTACGTTAGAAATCTTTTAAAAGCTTTTGTATTCAATAAACTTCAGTAATAGCGTCAAGGTAGAGTGAATATTAACCATACTGCCAATCTCCAGTTTATTAATTTTCTGTTATCCATTCACAAACGGCCTTGACGTAAATCATCAAAAGCAACTCCAGTTTCGTTTCGGTAGGCCTATTGTAGCAGTTCTCCGTATGACTTCATTCTGACCTGTAAATGACTACACTTTTTTTTTATATATATAAGAACGCAATTTATAAGAACACTTAAGCTAAAATTGCACAACAAGAACAAAATAAGAACAAATTGAGGCTTAGGTAAAATGTCAAATAATGTTTTTATTAAACAAACTATAAAAACCCATAAAAAGCACTAAAATTATGTTGGTCATAACTTTACCTTATGTGCAGTAGGTGAGAATGATATACACTAGAATAAGATACCGGTATGCCTACTGTTGTTTAATAATCATTTTCTATCTTTGAAGCGTGTTTAAAATCAGAACAAAATAAGAACATTTTGAGTCTAAAGATGGCACAATTATAAGAACACTGACCCTTGGCAAAATATTACTGTATTAAAAAAACAAACCCCAGTGTATTAGTTGGAGGGCCAGCCAGTAGGTTCGTGTGCAAATGTTTACATAATTTTCAATCGGTATTAGTCAGTCTAATGGATGAGTTTGATATTATAGCTTTCTGAATTTCACACCCGATATTGAGATTAGCACATTTTTATGTATTACAATAATTTTTCGTATTTTGTAGTTTTAGTTTTTGTTTCCTAATTTGGTTTTAATAGTTTCCTTTTATTTCCTGTAATTAATATTATTCTTTATTTAACATTAGTTAAGTTTGATTATGTCTGTTACAGCATTGATCAAAACACCATTGAGGTGATCAATTAGTTTACCGTGGTTAAATAAAGTTTATTATTATTATTATTAGGCCTATTATTATTATTATTCTTATTATTATTATTATTATTCTTATTATATAGGGAAGTACTTTATAGGCTTAGTAGTACTTTATTGATATTTATGACAGCATTTTTTTTTTATAGCATACACAACAAGGAACATTATTTTCACATGTAGACGGGCAGAAATGGTTGAATATAAAATGCTTATTGCCATACCATTTTCATTGGTTGTTAATAAACTTGTGTTCTAGAATACCAAATCAATTAAATTTAGATTTACAGTCAGCCAAGTGAGAAAAAGTGCAGTTTGCATTATTATTGGCATTAGTCGCGATTGCGTCAATACCTATCGTGTTTTTTAATTATCCAAGTTGTCAACGATGATTACAGCTCGCACACTATTCGTAAACATTATCGTATTGCTGTTGTGTACGCTCACAGGCGAATTCAAAATAGGTTAGTTTTGTGTTTTTCTAGCGATTGTCGCAAGCTGTTGCTGCTCTGGAGTGGAATTGACCCGTATAACCGCAATACAGACACTCCTTAGAACGGTCCTATAGACATTTTCACCTAAAATTACCAATAATGGTATGACAGAAGAAACAGCATTCGCAGATGATGTCGATTTTCGACGACTTAAAGAGATCGATTTCAGTAATTGAATTGAATTGAATTTATTCGATGCTCATATGTAAAATATAAAATATAGAAATAAAAAAAATTTAGGAATTTTTTTTTACAATTATCAAACACAACGAGGATCTGGAACACCCATTAGGCCGGGAATCCAGCCGATTTCCAATGGGGTGCACATTGCACAATTAAAAATCATGAAAGTTATCAAAATTAATACATATTAAAAAGAAAAAGAACAGCATTTAAAAACCAAGATGCACCCAATTATCTAATTATTTAGATAGAACGCAACAGTACTCAATTGTAATTATTGCAATTGAGCACTATTGCGTTCATACAGTTTTTTGATGTGTACTTTAAATGTAGCCATATTAGTAATTAATTTTAAATTAGTTGGGAGAGCATTCCAGTCATTGATCCGAAACGAAAAAGGTAGAATGAGACTGATTATTTCCTTTAAGCAGAGGTACAACCAAATTGACTTTATGTTGACGAGTGTTGTGTATGAATTTCAGAAACTCGCGTAAATTGCTCAGAAAGATATGGAGCTGCCTTATTATTAAGAATCTTATGGACATTACAAAGTCTTAAAAATTTAACTCGATCTTCAACCTTAAGTAGACCAGGGCTGGACAGCTCTTTGTGACCTACATGTGTCCGTGGTCCAAAATCAAGGATAAACCGAATAATTTTATTTTCGGTTTTTGTTTCAAAACTTTATCAATACCTTCATACCATGAAGAAGCACAATAATCACAAATGCATTGAATAAGGGCCATAGATAATAATTTTCTAGTATTTTTGTCAAGACACCTTGCTTGACGGTAAAGAAACCATAGTCTAGCATTTGCCTTCTTGATAACACTCTTGGCAATATCAAGTATTATTTCCAGAGGCTGAATTATCGAGTTCAACACCAAGATATTTGACAGACTGGGAACCTTTTAATGTACGGCCACCATTAGTGACTTCAAATGATTTTATACGTTTAAGTTTTTTTTTTACTACAAAAAATTATTGACTCCGTTTTACTGAGGTTTATAGATAATTTGTTTTCAATAAGCCAAATTCTACATGAATTAAGAGCGTTACCAAGTCTATCGGCAACGACATTTGGATCATTGTGCCAAGATACAATGGCACTGTCATCAGCATATAAGAGTAATTTACATTCAGGGTTAATACTATCATATCATTTACAAAGCATAAAAAAAAGCAAGGGACCCAAAATGCTACCTTGGGGCACCCCGCATGTGATATCCATAGGCTCAGATAATGAATCTTCAACTTTAACAACCTGGGTCCTATTCGTCAGATATGAACGAAACCAGTCTAAGGAGGTAACGCCCATTAGAGCAAGTTTCTCACATATATCTCGTGATCAACAGTATCAAATGCTCTACATAAATCAATTAGGACCATATCAGTATGTATGCCTTTGGAATTATTTAATTTGATTGTATCAGTTAAATTAAGTTAAGGTACTTTCAGTTGAATAAGTTTGTCGAAAACCTGACTGATATTGATAAATGAGATTATTGTTAACAATGTATTGTTCTAACTGAATATGAACAGATTTTTCAAGAATTTTAGAAACAATATTTAGAACGCTTATGGGCCTATAATTTTCTGGGTTTTACGGCATTTCTTTTTATACAATGGGGTGACCTTAGCAATTTTTAAGTCACTCGGAACATATCCCGTATTGATGGACAGATTTATAATATAAGTAATAGGAGAAGCCGATACATGGGCACAGTCTTTAAAAAAAATCTTTAGGGTAACCCATCAAGACCGGTACTTTTAGTAGGGTCCAGGTTTTCTAACTGTTTCAGAATGAATTCCTCTGTAACAGGTTCAAGAGTAAATGAACTTAAAACTTTGGAAGAATAAAAATCTTTGATAACTTTAGAAGCATAGCTATATAATATATGTCTCATAGGGGGCAGCTTGTCAACAAGGTGATTGGCCATATTTGTAAAGTAAGTATTGAAACGTCTAGCTACATCTTTTGAGTTGTGAATTTTTGATTCATTCATTTCAAGAACAATTTTAGATCTCTCATTTGTTTTTTACTGTAAAAACTAAAGAAAATAAATAACTAAAGCACTTTAAAATGAAACCTATTGTTAACGAAGGGATAACAGTAAGTGCACGATTCAAATATAAGTGAAGTTATTGTTGAAAATCGGAACAAAACACAAACTCCTCGGTTCATTTACTGACACAGACATAGATAAACGAAAACACACTCGCTACCATTGTATTCGAAAACAGAAGTGTGGTTGAAAAAACTATTTCCTTAGAAAAAAAGTATATGAAGCACTAATCAATTCTTTTATACAACAGTAATAGTTGGACAAAACCAACGTTTTTAGCAAAGTCGTATAATGTCATACATTTGCTAGGAATTCTCAACATGGCCTAACGTAATAGGCAATTCATATATATATATACTATTACAAAATCCCAACAAATTTCCCACAGAATATCGGAGTCGATATGGAATATGTTTGGACATATTTTTAGATCTGATCCACTCTCACCTGCATTTCAAGCATTACAGTTCTCAAATGAACACACTATCGCAATTACCAAGTACATTAGGGCGGCATAAAAGTAACTTACTTTCACAACTACAATCAGACGTACTTGAACACTTCAATATTAGGCCTACATTTTTTAAACTCAAAAACTAAGAAACCTTAAAACAGCTTGCTGAAAAAAATTAAATGTAAAATAAATTGAAATAAATAAAAAAAATAAAAATAAAGTATAGAAATAATTAAAAATACAAATAAAAGAACAGTAATTCGACATAAAATAATTTTTGTTGAAGGGTTGTTTCTTTTATTGACACTATTTTGGTAATGACTGTATCAGAAATAAGATTTATCTTCTTTTTGCAAACAGTAGGACCTAAGTAATAGTAATAATAAAATTAAAGTGCACACCTCCTGCCTGAATACCGAACAATACGCAAGACGTGTATTATTTTTTTCTACGCTCGAGGGTAAAAATCAAATAGAATTCCCATGACCTTAACCTTTGACCTTTCCTTCCCAAACTGTAATCGTCTCTTTCGAGGTTTTTTTAAATAATAAATCCACAAAATGATTTTTTTTTGTCTATTAAAGGTCAAATCCATAATGCTGCTGTTTCTTATTGTGGTTTGTGACAGTAGCTGTCCATCTACTTGGTACGCCATTCCTGGAAGCCGATGCATCAAAGTAGTCGTAGACGACATGCAGTGGCAAAACATAGGACCAAGTAAGACATGCGAGAAGTTCTCCGATGATACAGCGGTTTCAACATTTATGCACGTGACCGAAGAAAACTACAATGCTACAAAGTCGTTACTTTTAGATCTAGTTCCTTGGTCATCTCAATACTATGTGGATTGGACCAATGATGGAACAGATGTATTTGATAGCGATGGAAATGCCGTTTCTCTGTCTACCACCGCTCTCGTTTCAGGCAACTGCGTTAGTGTTGATCTGACGACTGATGAAGTGTATGGATCCTGCGGTGACACAACTGTTTCATACGTTTGTGAAATGAAACCATGTGGTTATTAGCAACGATGTTGGAAAATAAAGTGCGACGTCGACTGAATCGCTGGAATAAATCGTAAAAAATTGTGGATGGTGTCGGTATGGTGTCATTTTGCTTTACGATGTATATGCCTAGGCCTATATTTTATTTTAGAAAATTAATTATCAATCTATACAAAATATCTACTTTGAGTTTGGAATTGAACTTTCTTGTATTTCTTTAAAGACAATGGCATTTGTACAGTTGGGACTAAAACTTTTCATTATTTTTCTCTATTTCTGGAGTCATACTTATTCTAACAATAATATCGGTTTACTGTATTACAGCATAGGCCTGTATGGTATCAATGTATTGTAATGTATTATTAGGATTCAATAATATTAGGTAGGATAATCCATCAAAATTAAGAGTGTCTATATATTATATATTCTCCTGAAGACAACATTGAAGCAACTAAATGGAAACGTCGAAATTTCCTCAACCAATCTACAACAGTTCTTTTCGTGGTGTACCGTACCTCAAGCATTAACATATATTATTACTTCGCCATGCAAACGTGGAAACAATATCAATATAGCGCCGGTGACAAGCAAGTTTTTGTTTGCTTTAATAGGCGCTTTAAAAATGTGTATTATTATTATTTATTATTAATATACTGTAGTTGAATAAACATGTTTTTATATCATAGAAGAAGAATTTCTCTGTGATCCAATCAGAAACCCCCAAAACATGAGGAGACTTTAATTGACACCTCCAATTAGTAGAGAGTATTTTATAGAGAAACACCAAATATCATGGATACAAAAGACACAGAAGTTACAGATATAATCATTTGGAATTGCCTTCGACTCTGAAAGGGTTCTAACTCGTAATAACATCTCAGCTGGATATCAGTCACTCTGTATATATTGTAGAAGTTACAGTATACATTCAAGCATAGTTCCTCAACGAAAAGCAGCAATGATTCCCGGAGTTCGGATCCCTGTTTTTCCACCTCTTCTTTAACATTTAAAATTAGTTATATTTATTATAGTTTATAGCATTACTCAGGGACGGTTAGGGGGCTGGGCCGGGAAAAAAAAAAATGATCGCCCAATTATTAATAATTACATTATTTGTTTAATATCCTTGTGCGATAATACGTATTTTTTTAAAATTATTTTTTGGAACATGGCTGGAATACGGGCGTCCCGCAAATGCACGTGTTGATTTGTGGGATCTTAACATCAACACTTTACAAGGAGCGGGGCTTTTAGTGGTTTAATTGAATCACAGGTTGAGGCACAATGTTTTACCACGACTGATCATGAGTGTCGATCGACAAAACACCCGGCATATAGGCCTATCAGTGGCGGATCCAGGAATTTGAAATAGAGGGGCCCAGAGAGGGATTTTCAGAGGTGGAGGGTCTATACTACCTCAGCCCACCATGGTTGGGGGTGAGGTACGACAATTTATGATTATGGCAACTCAAGGTGGAAGGAAATGGCATTCCTAGACTCAAAATTTTAGTCGAATTTTCTTTTTTCTTATTTTTTTTTAAAATTTTGACAAATTGAAGGGGGGGGGGGGGGGGGTCGGGTTGGTCCCCCTTGAATCCGCCTATATGCTGCATACAGTCAGCCTACACTGTCGATCCAAGACAAAAACTAGACTACACAATATGGGAGCAGAAATTCACAAAATTCAACATACGTAAAAATGTGACATATAAAAACACGTTTAAAATCAAGTTCATTATTCTATTCCGACTATATACTTTATTCAAGGTAATGAAATGCAAATCCTCTTTCAATCGGGGTAAATTATTTAATATATATTACATAATCATAATAATTATATATTATTATTATTATATAATCATTAAATGAACATTAAAAATATCACCGTGTACTGAGTAAATTCATAATTATATATTATGCAATAATTTTGGGTAACGCAAATCAACACACTATCGGTTGACAAGATTAGCTCAATGATATCGTTGATATCAATGATATCGTCCAAAACTATCCTTTCCTAACAATAATAGTGTTTAACATTTCCGACTCGATTAATATTTAAACTTTAAAAATGTTAAAATAAATACATGAGAAAATTCCAAGGATACCGTCGCAATTGGTTCATCAACGACGATCTTTTCAGCTGCCGACAATCAAACAGACCATGGTGTTCAGATATGTTTGAGTCAGACAGCGACCGACCGTCGCAATATACGCTAGGTTACGTTTGTGTAAATTTGTAATTTTACAACGCCGCATTTCTTCTTAATCGATATATAGTAATAGTATATTATTATATCCCTAGACTACGAAAATATATTTTTCGTTAAATGTTTCTGTGTAAATATATACCTACAAGTTTTTTTACGTATTCCAATTTCTTCTTTTCATCTGTGTACATGTTTATCTTAAGTTACAAGCAAATTCATAACAACCTGCTATGTTATATTATATGCTGTTATATTAAACAATAAAATAATACTATTCTTAACAATTTTATTGCAGTACATTAATTCTAAAGCAAACAAAATATTATACAGAATTTAGGCATACAACAGCTTAATGGTTTAAGCTTTAAAAGTAAGGCACTTACAATTTTGAATCAAATCTAATACGGTGAAGGAAATAAAGAAGTAGAATAGAAAACAGATGTTTGATTAACAGTCAGGAAACTTACAATAACAATAAAATGCATAAAGACCGATACAAGCGCGCGTGGTGGAGAACACTGATGATGAATGCAAACCGGCTCTGTGACGTTGTCAATACGATCATCCAATGCTTATATTTTAAGGGTTCTCAACTGGTGAGGCCTGCGTGTGAGTGCATTTTACCGTTTCGTATTGAGAAAACGCCTGAAATAGGCCCAATTACTGTAAGTTAAAGCATAAAGAAAATATAACAGACAAGTTTTATATTCTCTATGGTTAAAGCAACCAGGCCTATTATTGCATCATTTCACGATAAATTAATGTTCTTCCACGTTCGAGTGGCCCCACCCACACCACCACCTCCATCCATTGTATCAGGTCACATTGCGACCTTGCATGATCAAGTCCAGAAATTGTACATATTTCTGTAAAATCTGCTTATGCGATCACCAGCCATGTTGTTCTTAGAAACGGAGATACAGTAATTCATTTTAACAAATCAAAAAGCTATACAAGACCAAACACTTAAATCTGAAGTTGACAAATAGATTCTATTTAATATAACATGAATAAGCCACTTTTACGATTTACTGATTACGAAATTTCCTCAGTATAAAACTTTAAAATATAATGTTTCAAATATAGCATATTTTATTACCATATGCTTATATTCTGGGTAGCTTTTCATTCCTATACTACCTTAAAAGCATTTCATTTGTTGACATTAAACATCAAAATAACATTACACAACAATATAAAACATTTTATCTTTCATAATTTGGCAACAATAACTCTTACATTAGTGTATGCTTTCCTTGGCTACATACTATTTTTTTGGTGTTTTTTTTTTTATATTATAAACGAATAATTGTAGTCATTAAATTTAATACATCAGGTCTTAAACTTAGGCAGAGCATTCTCAGACTGACTTGGCTTGTACTTTCCATTCATTCTATCTGACGTCACTGCCTTTAGTTCATTTAGTTAGGGAACATCTTTAAGTTGATCTACAAATCATTTGGCCGGACTTGCCACTGAGGTACCAATACCTACATTATCCTACAGATACAACCAAGGTTGTAAATTTTTGGATTCATTCTTACTTTGAAACTTGACCGAAGCAGTTATGAATTTGACACAACTAGTACCATAATTATTTCAAATATTAAAACAAGTTTAAAATTCATTATCTGGGTGTCATAAAAACATAAGACTTTATCTGGGTATATATAGGTAAATATGACATGTTATAATAATGTTACAGTTTGGTGTCGAAACCGTTTTTTTTTTTTTGTAAAAACATAAATACATAATGTACAGTACTTGGAAATTAGTGTGAATGTTGCTGTAGCGTTGTGTTAACGTTATTTTCTGATGTACAACTAACTTTCGCCAACATTATAAGAATGTTTGAGTCTGCTAGGATAAAAACAACTTAGTATATCTTAAAGAATACTACTTAATACTCCTTGGAGTTACCTTACTAACTTTTAAAAATCATCATAAACTTTTAAAGAGCACTGGGTGAATATGTCTCATTTATAAACATTTGCAAAACTCTTAAAATTGAAGAAACTGTCCAATTAAAGTAGACTTAATTTTTTTGCTGCTTTAATCCAATAACAGTCAAACATCTTGAAACATTTTAGAGGCCACATCCAACCAGTTACTGCCAAGTTCAAGCTGTGAGGCTAGGCCATAGTTAGCTTTCTCCTTCTCATCCAGCCATGCATTTAATCTGTCATGAATTTGTGTATAGCCACGGTAGTCAGGCAATAATGCTGCCAGACTCACAATACCAATGGCCATGGCAAACATGGAGTAAACTTCTTGTTGAAGTGCCAATCCTTTAAATTCAACCGGAGAATAAAATCAACAACTATGTAATTGCTAAAAAAGAACTATTAACATGTTCCCACAAGATCTGGATAAAGTCACAATATTCAACATATTAAAGATATTTTTAAATATGTTTGCTTAATATTTGATTAGCTTATGTTATAGGGTTATGTTTATATTTTCCTAATAGTAACGGATTAAAGTGATGGAAGATTCTATTTTTCTTTTTTTTTGGGGGGGGGGGGTTGGTTATAGTAATAGTGTAGTCTGTTTATTTGGGTAAGTATGAAATAGAATATTAAGATTATGGTACATACCAAATGACCTGAGACCAGCCTGCTCTAAAACAGTTATAATTTTTCTGCGGTTGATTCCAAAAATTACAGCAAAACTGCATGACAATGTCCAAAATGACTTCTATAAATAAATATAAATAATACAACAAAGTTACATTTGATAGCCTACAGCATATAAGTCGTTTTCGCATTTGATTATTATTAATCAAAGACTAAGTGTAAACCTGCTTTGGTAAAAAATTTTACGGCTGTTATCTAATATTAGCCAATTCGTGGTTTGCACTGCAGATCAAATAATCAATAGGAACTTACTTGCTTGCAATCCACAGACCTTCTCAATAATTGACCTAATCTTTGGTCAAAATTTATTAGCTTCTCAGCAGGAGCAATCAATGAACTGTTAACATGTAAGTCTGTAAGGGAAATACAGAGTCATTTAAAAAATTTCCTTAAAAAAATACAACTTTGTAACTGTCACTGGTTGACTGTTTCTGCGATTTAGCATGGCTACTTCCAGTGTACAATATATAGATAGACTACAGTACAACAGTATTAGTAGCTCTCTACTATAATGCTGCATACAAACGTGGCACAGATGCTTAAAGTTTTAGCCTTATAATGTCTCTATCATCATAGGTGCACAGAAATTCTTCACACTGGTGTGGGCTAAATCTATAAATCAGGGAGACATGAGATTCTCGTCCCTCCCCTACTACTATAGGGAAGAATGAAAACATTACAGAATATAACGATATGTAAGCTGAGTGCATGTTGCAGTGTATGTTAGGTAGGTGGACTGTAGGCTCTACAGATATGTATAACATGTACATTCTCAAAAGTTTGTTTACTTCCTTTGACTAAGGTTAAGGGAATTTGCATGTTATAATTGACAGATACAATATGTAGAAATAATTACTGTAGGATGTTCATAAATATACATACTGTGTATGAACAAAAAGCCTGTACTTCCTATACATTATATACTGTGAAAGTCCTAAACCGTGTAAAACAAAATATCCAGCATTCATAGCAGTGTTCTCCCAATTGAAAAATTTTTACTGGTAAATTTGTCCAAAGAGCCAGCTAAGCGCACACAACTTCAGATATTGCCAATTTTAAGTGGATTTAAATGGCTTCAAAAAACAATAATACGTAATCATAGCTTAGGCCTGGAAAGGAATGATGTTCGTTTATTGAAAGAAGGGCAGCCTAGTCAACCTAGACCAAATAATGTGCTTTTTTATTCTACCAACACACAATTTTTACTGGTTGGTCAGTTATTTTTACTGGTAAAATTGACAGCTAAAACGGCTTCGGGAGAACACTGCATAGCATACTGAAATTTCATATCACAGACTGTTTTGTACTTCTTACCAGTCAGTGCTGGCAATTCGAGCAAGTTGTTCTCTGCAAACTGCAGCCATGTTGCTTCTTTCAACAACAAGTGTTGATGCACTTTCATCAAACTCTCTTTCTGAAGAAAAGATTCAGCTTTCCTCAGACTCAAAAATGCCTTGCCATAAAGAGCTAAGAACTCTTGATCATTGGCATCACTAGAAAGTTTTTTCCAATGCATGAGAGCTTGTTCAAGAAAATAAGCTATCACAGCAGTACAGAGGATGACTCGGTATAATGAAGTTTGACCTGCAAAAAAAAAAAAAAAAAAAGATGTTGTAGTATCTTATCGTTTATATTTTATACCGTATTATCAAAGATCAATGACCATCTTACAATGCAGCAAAACATTATGGATGACTGCAGCAAACAAAAGAGTTAACGGCAATAACAATTATTAATATATCTGGCTATTATTTTGACACATCTTACAGTACCACCATTAATATATAAGAGTATGAACAGTAATTGTAGCATCAACGATTGTTTGCATAACAGAGGAGCCGACACCCTCGCACAACCAAGAGTCAGGGGCAGCACATCATTTTCCAGACGGCATCATAAGTTGACGTGGTCAAGTTCAAAATAAGTATATTAGTCATTTTCCTTCAGGTCTGGTATTTGTTAACTTATAGGCAGAAGTGTTATAAAACATGAATCTTATACACTTACCATCTCTTACACATATGTATTTCACATTTTTGCTTAACAAGTCTTCTAGTTCTGGCAATGCTTGAGCCTCGATGCGATTTAAAAACCATGAGCCATTCTGTAATAATTGGAAACAAATGTACTTGAATTAACAACAACTGTCCAACTGTTCCATCGTCAACAACTGCGAAGATGATGTGAACAGGGAAAACACGATAAAGTATTAAGAATGCCGGAGATTCTGGCACTAACCAAGAAAAATGCAGAATGTATAAGCGTCACTTATAATGAAATAAGTTCCAAATCAGGAATTTCTTGGAAATTAAGATGGCCTCCTTTACATCTGCAAACAAATAATCTTCCTGGGAATATCGCAGAGTAAATTCATTAAATTGAGAAACAATTATTAATACATTAGTGTCTCAGAGCACTATGGCATTATTAATTGCCTTCCCCCAAAAAAGTACATACTTCCTGTTGTAAATCAATGGCTTCCTTCACTGAATTGTAGATGGTTGTGCTTTTTGAAGACAAAAAATCAACATCTTCACCTTCAAGGAATATTAATATTAAAGTAAAAAAGTAGTGTTATTACACTGTATTTTTGACATTTATATTGTAGACATTAAAACAAATTTTAGAACCATGAGCATCAAAGCAAGAAAACAATAGTATATACAGTATTTGGGCAATAACAAGAGCATTAATAACAATAACCACAACAAAAATTATAATATATTTTTGGCAAAATATTTCAAGGGAAGGAAACAGTTAATAGCCCAAAAAGCAAATATACACACAATCATAAAAAAATCCCAAAAAACAAAAAAACTTCTTACCGGGATCCAACACGCTCTTCCATCCTACACAAAAAAAAAAAAACATTTTTTCTCATTCAGAAAATTTTAAAAATAAATTTCATTTTAAAGTATTTTATTAACAATACAAAAATATATATTTAATATATAGTACTTTTGGGGGTTATCAACTTACAATAGTGCACATGGGAGTCATAGCATACAGTAATTAATGGTTCTGACCTTTGTCCATAAGGACAAAGGTCAAGTGTCTGAGATGCCCCATTTTGCATGATGGCTGGCTGCAATATTTTCAGCCCCAGACTATAGCTTGTTTATTTTCACTTAAGGCTTAATTTCAGCCAATTATTCAAGTTTTGGGAGGAAAATTCACAAAATTAAAATAGCTGAACAGGGGCGTACCATGGGGGAGGGGGCGATGGGTGCGGCCGACCCCCCCCCTTTAAAGAAAGTGCCCTTTAAATCAAATAACACACCCCGCGAATTCTGAAAGCTTCGCTAAATTGCTCCGAGTTCAGCTTGCCCCCTGCGCTTTCGTTTCGACCCCCCCCACTCTTAGATTTTTCACCGTACGCCCCTGCTGAAAAAAAACATGCTAAATTTCCAACACCTAAAGTTTGTTTGATGGGTATTCTGGATGCTAATTAATCAATTCAAATTTATAAATAACTTTTATTCAATTGATGAATTTAATCTACCAACAACATAAAAAATCTACTGTAAATGGCTATTTATTTTCAATGCTTTTGTCAAATCTTATTAATTGTTGTAAAGGAAAATGAACATATAAAAATGTTAAGGATTATTTGCACCAATATGAGAATGAAAAACAAAAATAGTGCACAAATCCATGATAGTCTGTTATGAGATTATGTATAAATTGACAATAGTCAAATTTACTAATAGTATGTGCAGGAACAGTGAAACACTCCTCAAAAACAATACAAACATTGTATACCCAGGGAAGGTTCACATAGGTAGCTGTTCTAAGTTAAGCTATTTCTATTTGAGCTTTCCATTTTAAAAATATATGAAATTAACAATAAAAAAATTATATTGTTTCTAAAATTTAACAACAATTGAAAACAGTTTTAGTCAAACCTCAGTATGTGAAGAACACCCCTTAAAAATAATAGAACCGTTGCATACTCAAAAAAGGTGTAAATTGAGAGTTGTTAAGGTAGGCTATTTCTAGTATTCTTGAGGAGAGTTCCATTTTAAAACATTGGAAATTAACTAAACAAAATTATATTGTTTCAAAACTTTTTACAGAAATTGAAAACAGTTTACAACCAAACTTAAACTTACTCTTCCAAAGTGATAACATATCCAAAATAGGATTCTTCAAATCTAAAAATTAAAGTTTCATTATTAAAAAAATGAAAAATGTCTCATTAAAATACTTACTAATAGAATTATTTTTGTTGTATGAAAAATACAAAATTTAGATATGATATAGTTAATTAATGTTCCATAAAAAAAATACCATTAAATACTTTTGAAGTATTCATAACGTATATATATATATATATATGTACACATATATATATACATACACATATTATATATAAAAGATGTGTATAAGAGACAGATATAGAGCTCATATATATATATATATATATTTTACAATTTTAAAGAGATGGAAAGCTATTATTTTATTATTATTTTGTTTTTTTAGGAATTGTATAAAACATATATAAATATACATATACATATATATATATATATATCTATTTTACAATTTTTACAGAGATGGAAAGCTATTATTTTATTATTATTATGTTTTTTTCAGGAATTGTATAATAAAATGATTCACTCAAAATACAAACTTTGTGAAAAGGCCTTATAAAAAGTAAAACTTTAGAACAATCATTATGACATCAAAGAGAAAACCGCTGTGCAAAAACATAGAAAAAAGGGGATAGAAGTTCCAAGGACAAAAACAGTGACTTTCTGCAAGTGCATAAAATCAATTATTTTAATTCAGTATTACTAAATAATAGTAAGAATGCATGTTTTGGCTAGTGTACCTAGTTCATTTTCTTTCCTAACAACAGTGCTCTCCATTTCAGTGTTAAAAAAAACATTACTTTAAATAAGAATGAAAATATGTTGGCAAAATTTTTAATTTCACACTTTGTGCGACAAGATCATTCCAAAACCCCATCACCAAATTAATCACGTCAGCAACGTACACTTGCTCATGCTTCCATCTTTCACTGTTACAGCATAGCAACACTTCATTGCTGCCAACAATTGTCGATGAAGACAAGCGGTCAATAAATTTGCATATAATGTCAATTATTACTTCCTTGACTGATTGAGGAAATGGATTACTTGTTAAAGGTCAGCTCGGACAGGTAAGGTCATTGTGAGAATATTTTTTGACAGACGTAACTGTCCCATACGCAGACCTATCATCTGCGTTTAACCATGGAGGTATTATCATTATATTACGCAAGCTTCCATGGTTTAACTCACTCGACTCAACAACAAATATTGTAACAATTGTTGAAAGCCTTCAATTAGGCAGTAGGAGGTTAATTTTCTCCTTTGTATTCCAATTATTGTCTATAGAATTAACTTTTTGATTTGATAGCATTTTTGATGTGTTTGAAAACATGCTTCATCTAATCAAGATTGGGTACTAATGATCTGTCTAACAGACTGAATGGATAAACATGTTTTTTTTTTAAAGTGGATTAACATAAGGCATTTGAATTACAATTTAAATGCACTTTCTGTGGTAATTCTTTCTATATTTTCATGGGACTGTGAATAGATATTATGGAAGTTTGTCAATAAATTAAATGTGCCTAGCTGGCTATGACATTTACATCCCCAACTGCAGCATGCAATATTTTGTGATTAGGTGCTTGTTTTCCAACTGCGATATATTTCCAACAAGTGCCTATGGTACAGAATATGTCTTCAATCTGCAATTCTTCTGTTGTTTGTGTTTTTTTTCCAGACACTCATGAATACACACAGAATTTCACAGCCAAAACAATTCCACTCCTAAGTCTCATAATGAGACTAATGTAGAGCTGTGGTTCCCACGGAACCTGGTGTTCTGCCAATTCAGAATGTATTATGGAACTTGAATTTGGGGGTTCATAAAACTAATTCTATGAAGTGCATACCAAACCCGAATCACAGACACTTATCTATGTTTTAGAACAGTACTATTACAATTTGATGTGTTGAAAGTACGGGCAGAGGTGGCGCCAGGATTTGCCCGAGGGGGTCCCCAACAGGGGGCCAATAAGTGGTCCAGGAGCGAAGCCCCCTAAAATTATGACAATTTAGGAGTTTCAAAGGATAATGGAAACGATTATAGAGTCTACTAATATGTAGAAATTTTTATTCTTTGAATTTTTTTTGTGGTAGTAATGGGATGGTTTAATGCTTTAAATTTATGTAATTAGGAAGAAATACAAATATCATTTTTGAATATTCCAAGGCAGTGGCAGGTGTAGTAAAAATTAGGAAAAACATTTTGTTTTCAGAAATTTCCAATTTTTTTGTTTGCAGTAGGTGCGCTAATTAACCAAAATAAAATGTTATTTTTATTTGAAATCTTCAATATTTGTGGGCAGTGGGTTCGTCAACAAGGTCTAAAATAAGTCTTGCCTAATTACACATATGTTTCATATACCGGAAATCACTTTTTCTAAACTGGGATCCCTGCATTACATTCCTTCATATAAGTTGTCGCAGAAAATGTGTTACAAAGTATAATCATACCTGGAACAGGAGCTATGCTTAGCATTTTTTTACGTCTACGACAATAACTTTCATAAAATGTCCTTTCATATTTTCCTTCTGAAAAAAACAATTCAATAATAGAAAACTACTGTCAATCACCATCGGGATTTGAACCAGAGAACTTTTGCTTACAAAGCGAATATCATATTACCAACTGGCCCAACTGGCATTTTTAGTTATGTGCGAGCCAGTAGCCACTGGGCGCCTTCAATCATTGTTCCTTTAGATTATGACGAACCATTCTGGAACGTTTCTTTCAGATCCACTGATCAGTTTTTGAGATATTTAGGTCTGCGACGTTAGCACTTTAAAAGACACCACAAAATCATAACCTAAATTTGCTCTTCACCTAAATTTAATAATAGGGAAGTTGTGATTGCACAAGGTAGTGGGCACTAATCTCTACTACTATTATAAGTTTGCTCATTGGACAATCATTGTACAGAAAAAAGTGAAACCACCGATGCCGTGTTGGGGAGCCGGTGTGGCATACCAGTTTTATAGACAATGTTTAAGTTATTGTTAAAAATAACGGTTCTTTTTTTTAAACTGGTACGTGCATAGAGCTATTTAAAAAAATTATTAGAAGTCTATGGTTATGTCACATTAATATTTGCAAATGGTGCCTGCAG